AATACAATCTAGGAAGTGTTTTAATGACACAAATTCCTGGACTCTACCCTTTTTGAATGCCTGTCTAAAGTTCAAGAACAAGGCCCAGGAAATTACATTAAAAATTTTAGCATACATGATGCAGAGTTTGTGGTTATGCTTTTACAAATAGTGTCATAAAGTAATGACTGCTGATCATTTTTTTCACATTCTTTAACATGCAGAAGGACTTTTTAAAAAAATTTCATTTACTGTATCAACTAACCTAGTTATCTCAGTATAGTGAAGTAGTCATCAGTATGGACTCCGAAATAAAAATGCCTACCTTAAGTCTCAACTGCAACATTTATTAATTAAATTTCCTTGACAAATAAACTTTCAGTGCCTCAGTTTTCTTGTCCAGAAAAATGGATAGATAATAAGAATACATATGTTATAATTTTGTTGTAATGATTAATGAGTTAGGTGAAGCATGTTAAGTGCCTAGAACAATTCCTATTACATAGTAAGAACTCAATGAATAAATAAAGGTTAACCACTATTATCCTTTCTGCCTCATAAAAGCAAAATATTGCTCAAAATCAGAATCTTGTTGAGATCAGGCAAAAGTGCTGTGTGCTTAAATAAACTAATTTTTTTTATCAACTTCCCTCATATTTTTCAAGCTCAAAATAATCTCTTCTGGGGACTATGTTGCAAAAATGTGCGTTTCAAATAAGGGTTTATTCAAGTACCTTATCATATTCAAACCTATCTGCAGCACAACTTAATTGAGAGGTGTGTAGGATGGTCCTCTTTTAACGGAATAATAAAAAGCCAGACTTTTTGAGTTTCAGTCAAATGTTAAATGCATAGGAGGTATGTGCAAGCAAACAGAATTTATTTTCAATAAAAAACACAAAAACTCGGCACTTCATCAGTGGCCAGAATCTGCACTCTTGAATTAACAGACAACTGACTCAATAAAATACTTGTCTGACATGAATCTCCGAGTAGAAAAGGAGCATGCTAAGTAGTTCCATCTATTCCTCTAGTTTCTTCAAGCTCTGCTCCTATATCAGATAAGATCAACCGGAAATTATCTTCATGGAGGTCATTGCTTTAGTTTCTCATAATATGCTTTCACAAAACGTTATTTAAATTGTTTCTTCAAATAAAGGCTTTATATTAAAATGGTCCATAAGAACACTACTTGATCCCTTAATAAAAAGGCTGTTGCTACAATTTTAAATATTTTCAGTGTCATTTATGCCTTTATAGATAAATTTTAAAAGGATCCTCATGATATCTAGTGTACATAGGAATAAATGTCATAGAAAGAATTTCTTTCTCACTGATGTTTTTCATTATAATAACATTAACAATGACATCAACAATCATGACAGCTATTAACATTTATTGGACTTTGCCATGCACCAGGTAATATGCCAAGTGTTTATTATAAGTTTTTCCATAGATTTTTTTCATCACAAAAGGTTCTATGATATGGATAGTATTCTTATCATAATTATCAAGTAAAGAAAATATGTTTTAGAAAGACTATATGCTTTGATCTAGGATTCTGAGGTACAAATGACAAAATTAAAATAGAGTACAAGTTCAAGCAACTCTATGGTACTTTTCACTCTAAAAAAAAAAGCTTACTTACATGAAGGGTAAAACTATGAGAAAAAAATCATGCTCAATTAAACAAAGCAGAAGCTTCGGGTAGGTATTTTACACCAATTTTCAGACTCATCTCTTCCAGTAATCATGTTGGAAAAGCCTGCACAGATGGTAACGCTTTTGGAACCTACTCTTTTCTGCTGTCTTGTGGAAGTGGCCTTCATTACTGATGATTGTGCATACAGAACAATCTAGACAGAATCATTTTACTTATGTGGAAAAGTTATTCATTGACGATACAAAGGATCAAGTTATCATGCACTACATCCATACAGTTTTTAATCCTTACCCTTTGATTGGTACAATGTTTGATAATGCATTTATCAAGTAATGGTTTTCCACGGTAGTGACTAATATGGGAAGCCAAAGATCCAATCGAAACAGAAACATGAGGAGGAGATCAAAAGTTTATGTCCAGAGGTGATATTCTCTGGTTCTGACAAAGATGTATAAAATTGAAAAATAAATCCTTGAGAGATGTCTTTAACCAAACTGTCAGAAGATTTTCAACTAACTTCAATGATTTCCCACAAGAAACCATAAAAATTCTGTGAGAATTGAAGGTTTCAAAATATTCATAATTATCAATGAGACAAATGTCACGAGTAGTACTCATGGTTTCTACAAAAAGTTTGATGTCACAGAAAGCATACTGAATTTTGACTGTGGAAGAAGACTTTTTAATATCCCTATACTCTATTGCAGATCAAATCTTTAAAAGCATTCAACAGTTACAAACATCTATTTGTTCACTGTGCTGAGAAAACGGGTTATTCATTTCATTGCTTATTTCAAGTGCAGGAGTTAAGAAGGACATCAGTGAAAGCAAAAAAGGTATCCATCTGCATCACTTGTGAATGTGCAAAGGACATTTCCTTCTAGAATCTAGTCTGTTAAGAATTGCCTTTTACCTCTCTATTAGTGCCATTTAAAAAATAAAATGCTGTTAGTGTGTAATCTGTAGAGATGGCTCTTTGTTCTACAACATTGCTTATTGGTAAAATAAGATTCAGAAACTCATGGAGGGTTTATTGAATGACAAAAAATTACACAAAAGTATCAAACAATGATACTGTTGCTCACCTTACAAGTATCTAGGTAGCTATCTCATCTAGGGACACTTGTGAAAATAATCAGAATTTGCTTGGATATTGTATTTTTCCCTTGATATTGATTTCACGCCAAACAGAAAAAAGTATGTTTATTAAGATTTATAAGGATGAGAAAACAATGTCCAAGGGTGATTACAGTCTTGGCAAGTATGAGCTGTGTCATAAGACACAAGACAGAGATGGGGCAAGATGGTGATGGAACTGGTCAGAGTGTGATAGTCTCTGCAAAGGTAGGTGTTCACAAAGACGGTCTGTGTGAGGGGGTATGTGCAGGTAGGTGAGTGAAAGTCCGTCTGAGGGTAGACTCAGGTTCAAGCACTTGGAGCTCTCCTCTGGAAGTGACTGAAATCCACCACTGCCCTGAGATTGGAGGCTCCAGTGTGCAGGATCGTCTGCCATTCTCAAGGTTCTCTTGAGAGGAGGCACAGAGAACAGCTGCTCCTCAGGACCTGGCACCTAGCCCATGCCATCACCTGCAGCAGCAGGCTGGGCAACAGTAGTAGGAACAGTGGAGAAGGTATGATGAGGAAATCTGGAACTGAGCCCTGACACTGGTGAGAAGACACCTACCACCACCATTTTCTCTGTCCTGGGACTGGTAGAGACTTGCGCTGCCCTGCCCAGCTCTGTCCAATCTCCAACCAGAGACCCAGAGGATATCTTCACATCCCTCTGGGATTGATCATCGGACTTGGAGAGACAGATGCCCTGGTCCCTACGCTGGAACAGGCACAAACATGTCTGATCTGAGTGGGAGACCTGGCAGCAACGACAGCAGCAGATGAGTTGGGTGAGTTTGGATCTGATTCATCCTCCTCCCACAGCAGTATGCAGGGCATCTGACCCATGCTGAGAGCAAACTTATCAGCCTGTGCTGAGAGCAGAGGGGACAGGCTGGAGACCAGAAGTCACTCCCTAACGTGATGGCAGCCAAAAGTGGCAGCAGTGCTTGAGTAAGATATCTAAAGTTCCAGAAATGGCCACAGAATGAACTTTTTTTTCCTCTTTCTGTTTTTGTTTACGTTTCATAGTTGCATATTTTATTGCTGTTTTTTAGATTTTCTGTTTGTGTATGGATATCTCTGAAGGTGAGTTCATCAACAGGGTTTTTTTGTTTGTTTGTTTGCTTGATGGTCAGGTTTATTGATGGCCATCATCAATAACAAAAAACAACAGATGCTGGAGAGGATGCAGGGAAAACGGACACTTCTACACTGTTGGTGGGAGTGTAAACTAGTACAAACTCTGTGGAAAACAATTTGGCAATTCCTAGAAGATCTAAAAATTACCCTTCCATATGACTCTGCAATCTGCCTTCTGGGAATATACCCAGAGGAACTCAAATCATTCTATGAAAAAGATACCTGCATAGGTATGTCTATTGCAGCATTGTTCACAATAGCAGAAACATGGAACCAATCATGTTGCCCATCGAAAGAGGACTGGATTTTTTAAAATATGGTACATATACACGTAGGAATATTATGCAGTCATAAAGAAGGAACAAATTATGAACTTTACAGCAACTTAGATGGACTTAGCGTCTATAATCTGAGTGACTTAGAGTACATAATACTGAGTGATCTATCATATAAACAAAGAAATGAGTACCACATGTTCTCACTCATAAGTGGACCTTGAACAATTATCATAATACTTTTAGAAAAGGATTGACAGTAGTAGGATACTGCTAGGGGAAGGGGGGAACACACCTCATCAGTACGAGTACCTGCATAATGACCAATTGTATACCTAACCCTGAATTGTACCCCACATTTTTAAAATAAAAAAAGGCACACAACAGGTACTATTTGATGGAGTATTGGATGTCATGTATAAAAATTGTACTAATAGTTGAATTGGTAATTGTAGAGAGTTCCTCTGGGCAAGAAAAGAACAAGAGAGAAACAACAAATGCCTAGAGAAAATGGAAGAGACAAGAGAAATCTTTATGAAAAAAAAAAAAAGAAAAAGAAAATAAACTTTATATATACTATACCAGTTTTTCAAAAGTCATCTTTTGGTTTCAAGGAATATAACTTGAATCATAAATAAGTGAATCTAGTTTACATTTAGTTGTTTTAAAATTGTTGATAAGAAATTTCCATATTATTCCTAAATTTGTAGGGATTTAAAATTATTTCCTACTTCTAAATGTTAACTTTTTGTAAAAGGCTTATTACTATATGGAGACAAGAATCATTTAAAAATATTACTCATCAAGGTGAAAAATAATTTACTTACAATTATCTGATATTTTTGAAGAGAAATATTCCAAAAGGCTTAAGACACTTGTTTCCCTTAATTCTGACTGTTCTTCTAGTTTGTCCATGGGTAAAATACTCGTTTGTGAACTCTTACATTTACAGAAACCAATAAAAGCTGTTTTCCTCAAATCAGAAGTGGCTGCATACAAGCAGATTTCTGCAAGAATTGTTGTATATATGTAGACTACATTCCAGGCCCAGGAAAAATCATCTACCTTGCAACTTTCTGCCTGAAATAAGAAAACAGATATTAGAAAATCAAGGTATGTTCTGTCACAATTAAGAACTATATAGTGTACCGATAATGAGAAGTATCTTTAAATTGTATGGAGTTTTTAAAAGGCATAATAAACTAAAAGTTCTAAATGTATTCATTAAAAAAGGTTTTCATGGGTAGATTGCATAAAACATAGTCCAAAGAATAAAAGATACAAGTAGTTCAAAGATTAAAAAATGTAAGTAGCTAATAATTATATAAATTTTACTTTTCTTAGTAGTCAGTGGAATGTAAATTAATTCAATGACATGCTATTTTCCATATTATATTGGGAAAGAGTCTTTCTGATATAAAACTCAATTCTAATGTGTAACACTTTTAAACATTTTTATAAGAATGCAAGAAAGTTGTATCTTCTGGAGAGGAATTTGAACATCTGTCACAAGAGCCTTAAAATAAAATTCATATTCTTCCACAAAGTAATTTAAGTTTATTATCTACTCTAAAGAAATAGCCAGAAATGCAGATAAAGATTTTATGTATGAGAATAACAGTTCAACATTACTTGTAACTAACTGTGAGCAATTAGAAATAAACTTGTTTGAACACTAGAGAAATTGTTAAACAACTTGTCTTAACTCCACTAAAATATAAATTTTAATATTATGTAATGACAATGAAATGTTTATAATAATTGGTAAATGAAATCATATATGTAAATTTAATTTTATATTTTAAAATATTACTACAAAATTATGCATATTGTGTGCCCTAATATGACATATAATTTCAAAAATGGCAAAATAAAATGTTTTTTTCTTCAGGTCTTTTCTCACACCTAAATTAGCAATGTTGTTACCTGATTTTGAACAGACATAACGCTTGAAAGAAAATCTCTCATTAGGTCCATTAAAGTTTTCAAGCAGGCTTTGTTTAATTTGGCAGCCTCCCCAAGGACCAGCAAAGCTAGTACTGAATCCAACCTGGTAATTTTATGGACAAAAAGACAAAAATTTTAATAGAAAATAATAACAATCATTTTTAATAAAAAAGGAATAGGACAGAGGAAATGAATGCATTGCTGGATACATTTATTTTCAATAAAGATTGGTATTATTTGGTATTTATGGTAAAAGTCTACAAAGAAGAGCTGCATTTTGGCAAAAAGTTTGAGGTTGAGAGTAGTACCCTAACAAAACTCTGAGTATAATAAATAAAAAAAGTGATCACATTTCTTCAAAGATCCTGTATGACAAACGATTAAGGGCTCTGGTTCTGGCGTGCCCTCAAAACCTCACAATAGGTTTTGATTTTTAACTTTTAACTGATTCAAAAGGTAAATCTCCAAAGAATGTTTTCTTCTCAAAATAGAGGGCACATTTAAAAATGACCTTTCTAAATACTCCAAAGTCAGCATTATTTGATTTTGCAAGAAGTACAATTTCTCAGAATAAAATCTATATTTCACATGAATAAGTGACTAAATATTATCTTCAAAATATTATAGAAAAACATTCAGGATCTACAAGAAACAAACAAAAGAAAAGAAAAAACTAAACAACGTCAGTAAAAAGTGGGCAAAGGACATGAACAGACACTTCTCAAAAGATGACATTCAAGCAGTCAACAGACACATGAAAAAATGCTCAGCCTCACTAATCATTGGAGAAATGCAAATCAAAACTACAATGAGATACCACTTAACTTTGGTAAGGATAGCTATAAGTCAAAAAACAACAGATGCTGGCATGAGTACGGTTAAAAGGGAATGCTTCTATACTATTGATGGGAGTGCAAGTTAGTTCAATCTCTATGAAAAGCAGTGTGATGATTCCTAAAGGAACTAAAAATTGACCTTCCATATGATCCAGCAATCTCTCTCCTGGTATATACTCAGAGGAGCATAAATTGTTCTACAAAAAAGACACATGCACACACATGTTATCACTGCACTATTCACAATAGCAAAAACATGGAACCAACCCTACTGCCCATTGAAGGTAGACCGGATAAAGAAAATGTGGTACATATTCACAATGGAGTATTATGCAGCCATAAAAAGAACAAAAATCATGGACTTTGCAGCAAATTGGATGGAGTTGGGACCATCATACTAAGTGATCTGTCACAGAAACAAAGAACTGAATATCACATGTATCTCACTCATAAGTGGGCTCTGAACATTAGTCACATTAGCACAAGGGAGGGATTGGCAGTTGCTGGATACTGCTAGGGGAAGGAGGGATGGTGGACAGTGGGGAGCATGTAGAAACACAAAGAGTACCTGGTCCTATACTGGAGGAGTTAATTCCTACTTGTACCCCATATTTCTACAATAAAATAAAATTTATGTATAAAAAAATTATAGAACTGGGAAATCACATAAGAATTTGTTAGCCATAAATATACATATGCTTAGAAAATTATATATTTGGTACTGTATTTATTCAATTGAAAGAGATATAGTTTTTTTGTTTGTTTGTTTGTTTGAGTTGGAGTCTCACTCTGTCACCCAGACTGGAGTGCAGTGGCTGCTCCTGGTCACCACAGCCTCAACATGCTGGGCTCCAGTGATCCTTCCGCCTCAGCCTTCCAAGTAGCTGGAACTACAGGTGTGCGCTACCATGTCCGGCTAATTTATTTTTTATTTTTTTATTGTAGAGATGGGGTTTCACCAAGTTGCCCAGGCGGGTCTTGAACCCGTGGGCTCAGGCAATCCACTCACCTCAGCCTCCCAAAGCTCTGGGATTACAGGCTGAGCCACCGAGCCTGGCTGTTGTTTTTTTTTTTTTTTAAGTTTTCTTGTGAACACAAACTTTTATTTCTTTACATGAGATGAGGGTTAATAATGGGATATTATAACCAGATGATTTGATAAGTTTATACTTAAGTTTATGTAAAATTCCCAAATTTTCCTAAGTGGCTGAACCATTTTACATTCCCACAATAAAGGTATGAGAATTCCAACTGATCTACAACCACACCAATGACTAATAATGTCAATCCTTCAAAGCGATCATCTTAGAGGGTATGTAGTGGTATGGATATAGCTTTAAAGAGCACTGATAAAAAGCAAATGTAAAATTACTTCTGTCTAGAGTTGCTTATAGCCTTAATTTATATAGGCCATTAATAAGTATTTGAATTTCATAACTATGATACTTCTGACCAGTAAGTTCAAGTTCATCATCATTTTCAGAAGGAAACACCTCTGATCATGAGAATTAAGGACAATTCTTTATACTTGAATATGGCTTTATATCTCAATGTGGTTTTACATAAACTTTCTCATTTAATTTGAATAATAATTTTGGACATACTTAAGATATTTCAAAATCTTTTTTATACTATAAAATTGAGACATAAATAGGCCTGGGAGATTTGTGCAAGTTCACTTTTTAAACTAGGTTAACTGTAACTCAAGTCTTCTCCCACCTACGGGTGCTTCCTGTTTTGCAATCCTGCTTTTCCAAACCATAATTTAAGTGCCTCAATTTAATCTTAATATGACAGGTGCTGCCTATTGCCTACCTAATATCATTTGTCTCCTTCTTCCTTTTTGACAGAACCTGAATTTTGTTCAAGATGACAAAATGCTTGGTTAAGTTTGCCTCCTCAAGAAACAATGTTCTGTATCTTGATCGGAGTAGTGATTACATGTGTTCATCCCAGGTCATAGATCTGTGTACATAAAGTGGGTGAGTTTTATCGTATCTAAATTATCTCAGTAAATTTTGTTTAAAATTGATTACCCAGACTTGCTTAAATGTTAGAATAGCCATACAATGTAGATTTAGTTAATAAGATACAAATGAATGCATAATAGAAAAGGTTTGCAGGTAAGTTATTGCTTTCATGGTTAAGGGGGAAAAAATCAAATTTAGATAACAGATTTTCTTTTCTCCTTTGCTCATCCTTTTTCTCCTGCTTGGAATGCATACATGCTACCAAAAGGCAGAACAACCATTTTACAATGATAAAAATGAAAGTCACATGGTAGGGGTGGCAGAAAAAGAAGCTAGAGGGAGGATGCTTCTTAAAGATTAGTTTGTTGAGCATCTGCGTTAGCACTGCACTGCTTGTAATGTGGAATAAACAAAGCCCAGCTGGGTTATGCAATTGCAGTAAGGTTTCTGCCCTATTCAGAAGATCAAATCCTAACTGAGACAATGCTTATGAACATAAACTGTAGAGTCAGAAAAACTGAGATGGAATCTTAGTTTTGACACTAATTAGATATATGATACAGGGCAATGTATGCACCTACCTCAGTCTTAACTTAATTCTCTTGCCTATAAAAGTAAATATAACCAGGGCTCGGTGGCTCAGCCTGTAATCATGCGCCTTTGGGAGGCTGAGGTGAGTGGATTGCCTGAGCCCGCGGGTTCGAGACCTGCCTGGGCAACTTGGCGAGACCTCATCTCTACAATAAATAAAAAATTAGCCGGGCGTGGTAGCCCGCGCCTGTAGTTCCAGCTACTTGGAAGGCTGAGGTGGAAGGATCGCTGGAGCCCAGCAGGTCAAGGTTGTGGTGGCCGGGAGCGGCCACTGCACTCCAGTCTGGGTGACAGAGTGAGACTCCAACTCAAAATATAAAAAAATAAAATAAAAATAAAAGTAAATATAGCAAAACCTTCTTTTCAGAAACTCTTGTGAGAGTTAAGTGAAATACTCTATGTAAAATGACTAGGTTCAAATGCTAAAATAAATTGGATTAAAAACATACCACTTCTTCAAAAATAAAACATATAAATTTGTTAACATTTTTCTCTAAATAGCCTGAAAACAACTGAAAGAAGAGGTCCAGGTGACCTCCAAGATAGAAAAGTCATTCACCAGAATATTTATCATTCATACTGCACATTAAGGTCAAGTAAAAGAGGATTTTCATAGAGTTCATAAAACTTCTTTTCCTCTGAATATACTTCATAATCATAAAGTTTTAATTCTTCTGTTCTCTTTTAAGCCCGGAAATTTGTAACTAACCTAGGGTATTCTCACTGAACTATGGATTGAAAAAGATCCATCAGTGTCAGCCACATACGGTAGAAAATTGCTTCACCAGAAACATACTATTTTAAGTCAATGTTGCTGATGGCAAAATTTTCTAAAAGTAAAAATGCCTTTGCCAAAAACAGAAGCACCAACACTTATGAATTAGTTTGTTAAAAAGTAAAACTGAATATCAATGCAAATAGAAAGAAGAACTCAGGTTGGATTAGACTAGAAATCTTAATACAGTACTGGTTTTTTTGGTAAACTCATACAGTCTCAATTATCAGTACATTGACGATTTTATGCTGTCATTAAATTAATCATTCACAAAATATTATAATATAATATTTTAATATTATGATAATTTTATTAAGAAACTGAACCGGAGGTTTATAGACTTACCTAAAATAACAATTTACACACACACATTTATAAAAAGGTTAGGAACATCAGCATTTAAAATTTTTCTTAGGTTCTTCTTATTCCTCTATACACATTTCCTCAATGAAGAGATTATTATTTTTTTAATGGAATTAGAATGTCTCCAAGCAGTAACCCTTACACAACTTATTCCAACTTGTAATAAATATTTCAGAAAACACTGACAATGTCAAAAATCCGCATAACCCTGAAAACTGAAAATAAAAGAAAGGTCACTAACAGCAACAATTTTAGGGAATTTCCACAAACCATAAAAATGATGAAGCTGGATTTTAAAAAGCAGTAAATAATATTACCCACATGCCACTTCATGAAACACAGCAGCCTTTTTTCTGCAGAAAAAGGGAGGGGTAAAAGAAAAACATTTTAAAGAAAAAAAATCTATAGTTTATCCTGTTTTTCACAGAATCAGAAAAAGTGCAGACAATTCTCCACCTTGGAGCATCCAGAGTACTGATTTTTTTTTTTTTTTTAAGTAGTGAGAGAATAATTTCTGGGCCTCATCTTCATCTCACCGTATTTATTCAGAAATGACAACATTCAGATG